TAGTCCAACCACTGGACCGGGAGCCAGGAGTTCCCCAGTGCTAGCCCTGATCTGATACGAGCTCTCATGGGGGTGTTGGGCCGATCACATTATCTCACTGGCCATTTCCCAGATGAGTTTCACCCCATTTTCTGTGTTGCACAAGTGTGCCAAGGGGCTTGGAAGCTGAAATTGCTACAGTTCGATTAAAGATTGGAGACAGGCAGAAAGCTGCAGGACCTCAAATTCCCGGTGTGGCCGTTTTCCAGGAGAGCTCGGAGTCCTTCAGCCACGTTTAATTTTGCCCAGACTGCAAAGCCGGTCGTGACTCTGTCACCTTCTAGGGAAGAGGAGGTGGAAAAGGAGCATGATCCACAGCAGGTTGAACTGGTGTGCTCTCTCTGGCATGCCGTTGGTTGAAGTTATCCATGCTCTTTAGAGAGGAGCAGTTCAGGGGCTGGGAATGGATTAGGAACTGTCCAAGCCCAGCTCCCCTGAACCCAGACTGAATTAATAGGTAGGCACAACCTTTGGCAGCCCTCGTAAAGTGAATAAGTAGCTGGCATCCACCCAACAACGAGCAGCTGTTCCCATCTCTGAATCCTCCAGCGCACTCCTTGCTTACTGTCTCCCCTGATCAGCTCCTTGGGGTTGGTAGTCATTAATGGATGTGGTGTCTTCTTTGGCCCCAGCAGGCATCCAGCTGGGTGGGGCAGGGAGCTTGGCCTGGCCTTGGCAAAGCTGTGAGTGTTTCCCAGTTAGCCGGAGATTTCTGTCTTGCTTCTTCCACCAGAAACGTAGTTAGCAGTGTTAATCTGAAGTCAAGTAAAAGGCATGGTACATTTGAACTTTATAGACCAATGGTTCTTCAGCCTTTTAGTTTCAAGGCACCCTTGGGTACACTCAAAGCCGCCCTCAGAAAATGCCAGCTGTTAGAATACATTAAAAAAAATATGCCAGCTCTTTGTTAGAATACATAAAAATAATAGAGCAGCTTTTCTGTTGCAAAGAACCCGGAAAAACCACACCTATGGATTTCTCTTGGACATCTCCAGGCTCATCTCGTGACTTGTCTTTCCAAACACAGTAGTGCTAACACTATGTAGCCCCCTGGAAAAGATCTCAAGGCACCCTGGGGTGTGTGGCCCCTGCTTGAGCCTCCCTGGTATAGACGAACCAAAGCAGAGCAGCCCAGGGCAGATGCCCGCGTGTGTTTGGGGCTGGTGCTATGTGAGATGTGGGGCTGGCCCTGACTCTGCAGTCTGTCCAAGCAGCACACTTGATGGCACGGGCCAGAGAGCCATTTTGGGTGGCTTCTAGTGTTTCTGCTCTAAGGATGCTTCTGAGTCACTTCCATGTGGTGTGGACACGTGTCTTGGTGCACGTGGCCCCAGAGAAAGGCCAGGTCCCTGTCCCGGGGGCAGGTGAGCACAAGAGAGTGGGCCAGGGAGGGGGAGACGGACTGGAGAAGAGAAAGGGCAGGCTCCTAATTGCTTCCGGATGCTCTCAGCAGCTCTTGAAGCCTGGGAGATGGCTGCATTATGCGCATCACACAATACCCCGGGTGGGAGGGTGATGCAGCCGTCATCCTGATGATCTGCCTGGGAGGAAGAGGCTGCTGCAGGCAAGGGGGATGGCGGCTCCGGCGCCTGGGCCATGCCAGCAGGGAGCTTCGCCCCGTTTCCCGCAGCGTGGGCGGCTCTCGCAGGCCTCTCCCCGAGCAGCACCCAGGTGCGTGGGGATGGCTGAGAGGGCGGCAGTGAACAGCACAGCTCTTCCCCTTCCCCCATCCCACCCACACGCCTTCTGCAGCCCACGTTGTGAGTCAGTGGCTTTGTGTGGGGGAGTTCAGATGAGTAAGGACAATTGGTGAGGCGCGCGCACACACGGGCATACGCGTGTGCATGCGTGTGCGCGCCTGCTGCCCCCTGCTGGCACGTCGTTAGCTAAACTCCATGTGAAAAAATGCGTGTTATGTAAAAGCACGGTGATGGTTTTCGTGGGAGCAGCTGCGACGGGCAATACCGAAAACAAAAAAACCCCGCTGCGTTGATGTCGGGTTTAATAAACCGGCGCCCGCTCTGCAGGGGATTGGTGTCCGGACAGATGTGGTTGTGGGTTTCTGGGGAACTTTCTGTACACCTCGTTGAATGCAGAGATAACTGTGCAGCAGAGCGGTTGCCCTCTCCATTGAATCCGTTTGCGTGTCTTTCCCTTGCAGTATATTGAAGCCATCAGCAACAAGCAAGGCGAGCTAGAAAGCTACGTCTCCGACGGCTACAAGACAGCGCTCACAGAAGAGAGGAGGAGGTTCTGCTTCCTGGTCGAGAAGCAGTGTGCCGTGGCCAAAAACACCATCACCTACCACGCCAAGGTGAGCCGGTGTGTCTGAAATCCCTCACCTCGCCAGGGAACGGCCAGAGATGCTTTTCTACAGCAGCTGGTCGTTGTGGTGAAGGAGCCTTCACAGCTGGTAGTAAAGAGCAGGCTGGCATTCTCCACCGACGAGGCAGTGATGGTGCTGAGCTGCGGGTTGCTGCTCCGAGAGCTAGTTTTACCCCCTTTCCCAGACCACCCAGGGATGCTGGGCATGCAGGCTTCTCGGGAGGGTTTGCCCCAGGGCAAGCAGGGTGAAAAGCATCCTTTGTCTGTATGGCTGGGCGGATGCTTCTGTGGAGTTGGCTACTAAAGACCCCAAATAGGGCAGCCATGGGGAGAAGATAGTGACCTGCCTCCACCTGCGCCTGCTGAGCAAAGCCCTGGGGAGAGCACTGAATATACCTCTCCCGCGAGGCCTCTCCCAGCAGGCAGGCCTGTAAGCAGGCGAGGCGGCTTCCGGGTGTGGGGCGGCGAGTGTCACCTGGCAGCCCATCACTCTCCAAGGAGAGGATTAAATAGGAAAGCGGCTGCTGTTCCCAACTCCCACTTGCCCACTTTGCTCCTGCCTACACCTCTTGCTCACGAGGACTCGCTGTTCCACGGGGGAAGGACAGCCCAGAGCTCTCGCCTGCCGGCTCAGGACCTCGGCAGAGGCTCCTGGTGCCTGGCTCCGTAGCTCACGCCGGTACAGTGCCTCTCTAGATACCCCCTGCTCTCTCGATGCGACCCTTGGCCTCTTGCGGGAGCTTGCCATCTCGAATATTCCTGCTCCCCGCCTCCACCCCGGCCCCCACCCACCCGACATCACTTCTCTCACTTCTCCCATCCATCTGTCAAGGCTGAGCTTGGAAGCAGGGAGTAGCAGACGAGTTGCAATTAGTCATAGCCATCCCAGCACTGTAGTATGTGCTGAGTCAATAACCAACATATGTTAATTTTTCACGTGGACCAAAAAGGAGAGTTTTGTCTTTCCAAGGGCTAGCGAACAGCTCCGGGGTCCTCCCCCCACCGGCCACAGACCTGTGGCACTCCTGTTGCCACCGAATGTCACAGAAGCACCTTATTGAAGCATCACGGGCTAAAATTAGCACCTTAATTGCAGCCAAGGATGTGAGAGATTTGTTTTGTATGAGGAGGTTTTGCAGGTGGCTCGCCCATGCGGTGGGTGGGTGTACGTGTAATGTGTATTCTAATTTCCCAAACCTGTCTGAGCTAACGAGACACGGATGGCTGGTGAAAAGTGCTGCTCCACTGCCGATTTGGGGCCGGGCAGTGTCACTCCAAAGCCAGCATCTCGTACGTGTGTGCACACACGCGTGTCTGTGCTTGCATGCATGTGCCAGCAGGCACCAGCTTTTTGCTGAAGGCACTGCAATCTGTCCTGGGAAAATGACCCTATTCTTTAAAGAAAACAACAAAAGAGGCTTTTGCTAACACCAAGGAAAATAGCTCAGGGTGGCATTTAATTAAACCCCTGGTTAATAGCTAATCTAGAGGCAAATGGGTAAGCATTTACCCTGCAGTACTGCTCTCTGCTAATTGGGGATGAGTTAAATTTCTCTTTTGGGAGCAGCAGCCTCTGTGTGCTGCTTAAAAATTGGCTAGCTTCCTCGTGGTGCTGGTAGATGATTCTCCTGCATGTCCTGTGGTGAGGTGGGCCTGTCTTTGAGAGCAGCGTGGTGGATGGCAGCTGCTCTTCACTCTTGGGTTATGACTCCATCACTCCCCCAGTGCTCAGCACACCCCTTTCCCTGCTCCGTAGCAGCTCTCCTGCCCTCACGTTGCAGCCTGGCTGCGGGAATGAATCTCGGAGCAACTACAGCACCGAACCTCCAAGCCCAGGTGCAGATGTTTGGGGTCTGCTCCAGGGCTCCACTTTCCCTGAGCGCTGGTGACATGGTATAGCCATGCCTTTAGCACCTGAGAAGTTCAGCAGCCCAAACCCCTGGAACTGCAAGACATCTAAGCAGGAAAGCAAGAGCTCAGCCCTGGAGTCTGCACAGAGGAGCCCTCTGTGCCACCAGGCTGCTCCAGGTGAGGCAGGCTGAAGCTAGAGCCTCTGCCTCCAAAGACTGGAGGTTAGAAGCTGCAAAAACCAAGCAGCCCTAGAAGATTAGCAGGTTCCTTTGGGAAGTGGCTGGGTCACAGGCGGAGATGACCTCCCATCCCCGTGCCCAGGAGTGGCATATCTGGGGCACGAGTGGCGTGTCTGCACCTGTCACTGTCCCACATCCCTGCCATTCTGTTCATGACGTGTCCAAGTCTCCCTGGGATCTGAGGCCAGCAGTTAGTAGCTTCTTATGGGGTGGAATGGGAGTCCCCTGGCATGACCAGGACATGCTGCAAGGGACCTGGCTGCCCGCAGTCTGCCTTCGAACGCCTGTCCCTCGTTAGCCAGGCACCAAGACTGCACCTACTTGGTGGGAGCAAGTTTCAGGCCTCTTCAGGGGGGCGATTTAGTAGGGCAGAATAGGACAAACACGGCCTCCCACCAAAATAAACGTGCCTAGCCAGGCCAGTGGGCCGGCTCCAGGCATGGCATCACTTTGTCCGAGTCGCACAGCAGCTGCCAGCTTGGTCAGCCACAGGAAAGGAGTTTGCAAAGGCTGCTTTGGGCTGTGCAGAGGAGCCACATTGCAAAGCTCAGCCCCCGTTAACACTGATTTACCCAGCACAGTCTGCTCCGTCCTCCCTGAGAGGCGCCTTTGCTCACACGACAGGTCTTGGCTGATGGGTCTTAGTTTCCACACGTGGGTTCCACCTCTTCATGTCAGCTCCTCCATCCTCCTTCTGCCAGCAGAGGAAGTTCATTACCTTTCCCTCCCTCCTGCTCAGCTTTTAATGAGCTCTTGCAAGCTTGTCCATTGTCACAAGCCAAATCCTGGTTGCAACGCCCTGGGCCATGCCAGTGTTGAGCATGCGCACATGCAGGTAGCTGGATCTCTCTCACTGCTCCAGTCTGCTGTGCATCCAGGTCAGGGGCACTTGAGGTCTCAAGCCAGTTTTAGATGCATCATAGTCTTGATCTGCTTCCTGGGCCTTTGGGACCTGGGACATGAGGCATCCAAAGGGCTTGGTATGAGATGGGAACCATGCCAGGATGTCTCTCTCCCTGTCCCTGCTCTTGAGGGGCACACAGGCTTTTCCCCACAGGACTCTTGTGGACTCACTCCTCCTCCTTTGCTTTTAGGGGAAGGAGATCTTGGCCCAGAAGCTCCCGCTGTGGCAGCAGTCTTGTGCCGACCCCAACAAGATCCCGGACCGGGCCATACAGCTGATGCAGCAGATGGCTGCCAGCAGCAATGGGACCATCCTGCCTGCCCCTCTGTCGACGTCCAAATCGAACCTCATCATCTCAGAGCCCATCCCTGGTGCCAAGCCGCTCCCAGTCCCACCAGAGCTGGCCCCGTTTGTTGGGGTGAGTACACACGGTGTGAGCAAGACAGCTTTTGCTGAGCATTATAAGCCTACTCCTTTAGGGTGTACCATGGCTCACATTCTCCTAGACTTTCACCGGGTGTGGTGGTGGGGCTTGGGGCCAGTCTCAGAGCATATGGCAGGGAATAGGACGGAGACCAGCATGGGCGGACATGCAGTGAGTAACGTGCTGTAAGACAGGATAGCTGCAGGGTTTAGGAAGGGGTTTGCTGATGGCCTAGATGTGCCGTGGGTGACTGTGCCCATCCTCCTGATGCCTTCAGTCTTGGCTGTCTCTCTGGAGGCAGGATACCAGGCTTAGCAGGGCTGGGATGCTGCTCCGCATGGCCAGACTATCATTTCATGTGCATAATGCAGCCATCTCCCACTTTCCCCCCTCCCTGCAGCGAATGTCAGCGCAGGAAACCATCCCCGTGATGAATGGTGTCTCGGGCCCTGACAGCGAGGACTACAACCACTGGCAGGAGAGGAAGCCGGCCCAGTCAAAGCCCTTGTCTCCCCCGCAGCCCCAGAAGCTGAGTGACTCCTACTCCAACACGCTGCCTGTGCGCAAAAACGTCCAGCCCAAAAACAGTTATGCAGCAAGTAAGAACTGCCCCCCACCACTAAAACAGCCACGCCAGTGGCCACACAGCACATCTGGCACATGGGGGTCACAGTCCTGCAACCAGCTCAGTTGGGATGAGCAGCTGTCGGGGTCAATACAGGGCAAGGAGGGCTTGGGTGGCCACAAAGGGCCATGGCTCCCTCGGAGGCAGTTGCCTCCTGTCTGGTAGCTTCTGGGTTAAGTTCATTAGTAACTAGACAGTAATGCATGGGGCATCTCAGCAGCCGCGTGAAAGATGTTGCCACTTTCACGCGTGGCTGGGCACAGGATTAGAAAACCATGGGGTTTCATCTGACTGGCAGTTTCCTTTGGGAGGAAACGCTCCCGCCCTCCAAGAGGCAGATCAGGATGGCTCCGTGGGGCGAAGCAGGCTGTCACTCCGCAGGGCAGGGGCTGTCTCTCTCGTGCTTGCACTCTGCTCTTGCAGACAGACCCAGGGACACCCTGATGCGCCAGGCACTGCTGTAGGGCACAGAGATGACGGAGAGTCACCTGCCCTGATGGGATAAAGCCACTGGATTAGGCCAAAGCCAGGGGGGCTTTCGCCACGGTGCCAGCACTGCCTTTACGCATGCTGTCAATACTCTAGGACCATATCTCAGCCCTGCTTCAGAAGCTGCAACTCCTCGATCTCCTTTCATGTGGGCCTGCACAGCTCCCCTCTGGATTTTCCCCTTCCCACACATAATGGCGAAGTGTCTGGAGTGACAAATGCAGCCTGGGCATGTGCCACTGCAACAGTGATTCTCAACCAGGGTGCCACGCAGTGTTTGCACTGTTAGGCTTATGAGCACAAGTCACAAGATAAGCCCAGGGATTTCAAACAGAAGTCTGTTGCTGTGGGCTTTTTGAGTTCTTTGCAACAGAAGAATTGTTCTATCATCATCCCATAGTCAAAAAAAAAAAGAATGAAAACTAAGAGCTGGCGCTTTCCAAGGGGGGGCCTCGAGTCTCTCCGGGGGTGCATTGAGTCCAGAAAGCTCTGAACTACACAGTGACCTGTTTGCACTTACCATTTAGATGGTCTGAAATGTGAGGATTGTCAGCACGTTGAACGCCAGAGGAAATGCACAGCTTGGGAGCCGAGCTTCCCACCTGTGTGCTCCTGCCTTTGAAAGTAGTTTAAAAGCCAACTGCATAGCCAAGAAGTGGGGGCCTCCTGAACTGCCTTGGCCATCCAGGGGGGAGTTCCCATTACGTCCAGTAAGCCTGGATGTGCTTATCATGTCCCACAGTGCCGTGGTCCTTCGACGGCAGCAACACCGAGCAAGCCACGTGCTGTGGCATCCTTGTATCGTGCTGTGGCTATGAGTAACGTGAGAGGGTTTCGGGTTGGGGCTGTGTCTGTGGTGTGCATGGCCACCGGGGCTGAGGTCTCAGGCCTTTTCTTTGTCTCCCACCAGCTGAGAACAAGACTCTGCCGCGCTCCAGTTCCATGGCCGCCGGGCTCGAGAGGAACGGTCGGACACGAGTACAAGCCATTTTCTCTCACGCTGCTGGGGACAACAGCACCCTCCTGAGCTTCAAGGAGGGGGATCTCATCACACTCCTGGTGCCCGAGGCCCGGGACGGCTGGCACTATGGAGAGAGCGAGAAGACAAAGATGTGAGAGCCCCC